CCACTATGCTGGCCGATCAGCTACCGTTCGCCCACCTCGAACTTATACTCAAATTTCTCTCCAGCTCTCCTGCCCGACTGTCCAAGGTCCATCCCCCTCGATATCTGACATCTTGAACGTATATCCTTTCCAGTACTACCAATCTTCGAGACCTGGGGCAGTCGAATGTGGTCATTGTAAGTTCGACCAAGGGGGTAGCGGGACGTGGATCTCGAACCAAGGGTTGGGGGGGGGGTGCCCGGTCGAAGGCCAAAAAAAAAAAAAGTGACACCCATCAATTTGGTGGCAGAAGTGGTCAGTGACCTGCCTGTTGCGACGTTGGATCGTTCTAGTAGATGTCCTAGCTGCTGTAGATACTTACTTGGCCATAGTAGATAGCAAGAAGCAATTTTGAACCCCCCAACATCTGGCAAAGAAATCATGGTAATGAATTTAACAAAAACATAGACCATGGGTACTATTGCTAATTGAGGTTGAAATAAGAGTCAAATTACAGCTGACAGCTTCATTGTGCAGATTGTAATACAGATGTGCATGTTGGTGCCAGTGGGATGAGTAACTTGAACATGCATCGAGACTCGAAAACATGCAGAGAGAACAAGGCCGCCAACACGCGACCCCCACAAAAGAAAGAGCTTTTTTAACCAGAAAACCATACAACAAAATACCCCTCGAGTCTCACAGCAGGGGAAAAGGAAGAGAGAACTGTGGTTGGGTGGTGATGTGCAAAGCACGAGGTTGCAAAACAGGCTGCCAGGTGCGTGCGCCGTGAGATTTGTCAAATGTTTTCGTGTTTTATGTAGAAAAAAAAGTCTGAAAACATAAGCATGGGAAAAACATACTGTATTAGGAAGGTAGGGGTAGGGGGGTGTCAAGCAGGACTCTGAAAAAGAAATAACGAGTGTTGGTCTCTTTTCCACATTCCGCCACCCCCTTGAGTTCGACATGGCTATAAATGAGATACTTACTTGGTGACTTTTCTAGCTCTACTAGTTGATGCGGCTCGTCGATGGTGTAAGTCCCTTGGAAAGGCGGTGGTACAATGAAGAACAGCTACAGATTTCATTGACATCGACTTAAATTCGAAAATCGTGTCATCTTTTCTAGCTCACATCTACCGTTCATGCGCCTCACCTACGACCCACAAACTTGGACAGCATATGCGCTTCCTCGAGACACTTCAATCACATTTCGAAGTTGGGATCGACAACAACTGGACGTCCTGGTCCTTACCTTGGGCTGTGTAAACGGAAAGGTTAAGGTATCTCTTCATTATCATTGATTCCCCCTCCCGATGAGCATCAGTTCTAGTGTTTGAAAGTCTGGTTCGGTCCGGTTTTTTGATGCCCAGGGGCGTTAACCGTAGCCGTAACCGGTCTGCCTTTTCCCCAGAAGTCAAAAGACCAGACCGGACCGCAAAAAGACCGCAGACCGCGGTTTTTTGCGGTCTATAGACCGGTTTCGGTCTGCATCAGTTTTAACCGGTTTATGACCGGTCTTTAGGCCTATATTTTAAAATTATGAATCGGTAGATTTATTAACATCTCTAATAGCTTCAAAACGAGCCCAAGAACGTTAAATTCCGTTAGGAATTGGTGCTTCTATAAAATAAGTCTGGTACATCTATTATTCCCAAAAGTAATTTACATTTTAATTCATATCTCTCTCGTTTTTTTACCAAATCGTACGTTCTTGGGTGCGTTTTAAAGGGTATTTAAGGGGCTACAAAAGACCGGTCCAAACCGGTCAAGACCGGTTCACGTTAACCGGTCTTTTTGCGGTCTTTACATTTCAAAAATAAAAGACCGTAACCGCAGGTCCGGTCTTTTGCGGTCTTGGTCCGGTCTGGTTACGGTCTTTTTCCAGTCACGAGACCGGACTTCCAAACACTAATCAGTTCCCTGACAATGCCCTTGTAGTTAGTACGGTCATCCCTTGGAATCGAATCACATGTCTCAGATTCCGCTGACGATGCATCTGGCATGTCTAACGAAGGAAGAAATGTTTGGTGGAGAAGAGGATAGCCGTGCAGGTGGAGGGTTAAGCTTTTAAGGGTGCTGTACCCCAGGTACGAACACCAATTCTTCCTAGGGCTGCGCACCGTGCCCGTCATAGACGGGTCGACGGACGGGTCTGACGGACAAATACCCGTTCCGTTTGGGCTTGCTGAACACCCGTTTTTATCCATCACATGACGGCCGTAACGGCCGTCAGACGGGTCATCCACACATTCTGTGATTTTACCCACAATTAGTGTACCATCTATTGACAATATATGAAGTGCTTCATTATTAAATTTTTGCATATCTCTGTCAATGCTAAATGTCTCCAGGCGGGCCTAAATACAACCAGAATGGTGCTGACTCATCATAATTGAAACCCCGCGAAAGGTCTATTCACACCTCGAGCTCATGATTTGCTGTTTGAAGGTCCAAATCTTTATTATTTGTGCTTAATATCTCTTCTTACATCTACCAGGTACCCAAAAACAAAAGAAAAACGGTGAAAAAATTTTATACATTGAAAGGGTGGGCAAACGTCCGTACAACCCGTTTACGGCCGTTTTTTGCCCGCCCGTTCCCGTTCTGACTTTTCAGTTGCAAATTTACGCCCGTCAATCGACGGCCGTCCCCGTCAAACGGACGGTGCGCAGCCCTAATTCTTCCAGCAATCATCTCCTGCTAAGACACGTACAGAACCGACGCCGAGATTGGCTTACTAGCCCATAGAAACTCAAGCTCAAGCACTAGCCTGTCCATCCCTTTACCCTTGGTTGCAATTTCTGAAGCCCTAGATGAACGAACACATATCATTCACAAATGTCAGCCCGACGGAGCTTCACTGATATCTCCCTCCAACGACAAGATCCGACACGTTCAAGCTCTCCAAAGCCCATTGAATTCCCCCCATTCCCTCAAATACGACAGTGCGGGCAGACATTTGTAGTGTTTGAAAGTCCGGTTCGGTCCGGTTTTTTGATGCCCAGGGGTGTTAACCGTAACCGTAACCGGTCTGCATTTTCCCCAGAAGTCAAAAGACCAGACCGGACCGCAAAAAGACCGCAGACCGCGGTTTTTTGCGGTCTATAGACCGGTTTCGGTCTGCATCGGTTTTAACTGGTTTATGACCGGTCTTTAGGCCAATATTTTAAAATTATTAATCGGTAAATTTATTAACATTTTTAATAGCTTCAAAACGAGCCCAAGAACGTTAAATTCCGTTAGGAATTGGTGCTTCTATAAAATAAGTCTGGTACATCTATTATTCCCCAAAGTAATTTACATTTTAATTCATATCTCTCTCGTTTTTTTACCAAATCGTACGTTCTTGGGTGCGTTTTAAAGGGTATTTAAGGGGCTACAAAAGACCGGTCCAAACCGGTTAAAACCGGTTCACGTTAACCGGTCTTTTTGCGGTCTTTACATTTCAAAAATAAAAGACCGTAACCGCAGGTCCGGTCTTTTGCGGTCTTGGTCCGGTCTGGTTACGGTCTTTTCCCAGTCACGAGACCGGACTTCCAAACACTAGACATTTGTGTATGTGCTCTTTCTTTTGGTTCGGCCCTACCTCCAGCGCTGATTGGTCGGCGTATCACAAGATCATCGGGCATGTCCTCAGAAGCATCAAGATCATACTCACCAGGGCACTGTCCGATGTAGGCGATGAATCAACATCCATGCAGAAATCTGAACGTACATGTAGTAGGTCGTTCGTTATGATTCATCGAAAACGGCGACCTCCCTCAAGCAAAATATGAGCACCATGGGTGCCGTTTCTCTTTCAGAGTATCCTTATCAAAAACCTCTTTCAATTTCCATTGACCGACCAAGGACATCAACATAAGACGCGCATCTTTGGCGCATCTCTTCTTTGACGCCAAGGTATGTTCCTTGCACGTTTGAACGCCTGAATAAGGCTTACCAGACCTGTAAAGCTGCGATACATTGTGACGACTCATAATGTCATTATAGGAGCCTGGATGAAATGTAGCACAAGAGCATGGAAGAGAATCAAGCGGAAGGCGCTCGACAATTTTGAGGCAGTGAGTCACCTGAAGATTCTGGGTATAGTTCTTAAATCTGTACTTTCTCCAAGTATTCGAGGTCATCCTTAGCAGTACCTATGTATGAGGATTCAAAAGCGCGGCGTTATCAACCACCAAGTTTCCACTATCCGGTACAAGATGGGCAGTACGGGTCCTTTCTCTCAACATACCGAAGCTTACGAGCCGCCGCTACCTGCAGTACTGCAAACAATTGGTCGCTTTGATGAAACTCTTCAACTCGACCGGGGAACAGCATTGGTGAAGTTGAGGGTGTCGGAACTCGCCTTTTTTTTTTTTTTTGAAGTTGGCGAACGGAGGGGAGCGGGTTTTCAAGAGCTTGCACGCCGTCATCGAAATCGGAATAGGATACGGGATGGCTTCAGCTCCTCCATGTGTGGAACAGGTTCAGAAAACGAACGACAAACTCGCCGCAGATTTGATGCAAATTGTTACGTTGTCGAGAATGTTTGGTACGTTGCTATCCTATGCTTGCCTGCGTCCACTGTTTGACTGTCCTTTGCCAGCAACTATGTGAACGGGAAGGATCGCGTGCCCGGAGCGACAACGAGGAAACCCTGGGCGAGGACAAGGCTAATCAAAACATGCACATTGGACGACACTTCAAATTTAATATCTAATTTACTGGACGTTACATCCGAGTCTACATACGTCCCCAGACGCGCACTTTACACTCCACTTAAATGTTACGGCCCCAATGGCCACAGCTTTAATAGATACCGCTGATATGACTCACTTTTCTCAGACGTTGTTGAGTGGGGGGAAGCACGATGCTCTGGAGCTTGCAACGTTGAGGTCCGAGGAATGCCAGAAGACTGATCACCTGATCAACAACAATTTAACGCCAACGTTGACTTCGACTGCCATCATCTCGGACACGAACCCCCTCGTTACAGTGAGCGTCGCTTTGACGTTGTCCTTGACCAACGCCTTCCGACGACAAACACAAGAATCGCGCTCACTGTCGCCCTCTCGGATCGTTCAATTGTTTGTGTGTCCCAAGTGTGTCCATTCATCTGATTGTCAACAAAACTTATGTCGGTCTCTTAGGGGTAATCGAGTACGTGTCTCTCAGATCCATCCAGCCCTCTTCTCGCTGAAGACGTCATCTAGTGCCGCTCAAGTCTCTTGCTGACGCATACCGGTCACCGTCCATACTTTCTCCCTTTGTGACGCAATCTCAAGCAGCAAATACACTGCCCGTCCACTTGAGGACTAGGGGACGAGTCCAGAAGATTGCGTCATGTATTTTTACGGTACGTCCACACTCTATCCCTCTCTAAGTTCTAGTTTGACAATGCGTACATTAGTACCGTACCATCCCCTCGGACTCGATTCACGCACGCCAGGGATAGGCTCCGGTCTCTACGACAATGTGCTGAGGACGACTTGCGGCAGAAATGAGATTTTGATGAGGTGCAGAGAAGAGGGTAGTTGTGCAGGAACAGGGTCATGGCCAGTGTTCTATCGCAGGTATGAACGTCAATTCTTCGGCCGATCAATTCATGCTGAGCTTCTGCGTTTCTGAAGGGCACTTCACAAACACCGGTACCAGTCTGCTACTCTTGGCTATGTTGTGGTCATAGTTTCTTCTGTTCGATCCCAAGGTCGACAAAACACGTTCAACGTCCGCCGTCCTCGACTCACTACGGCACCTTGGACTACTACACGTAAAGCGCTGGGACACGTCACGTATGTCCTCTTGCTTTGGGTAAGGCTCCAACACCTCTGGCTTTCGGTGACGAGCTCGAGCTAATCACATTATCGTTTTGCAGGCTCACTGACGTGGCAACTCTGAGGCGTCGAGTTTACACAAACGAGCATACCGTCCGGCAGATGATGGACCAACGCCGACGCGGCGGCTTTTCTTTATGGTGTTAAACCTCTCAGCGGGGACGAGGGGGCAACACATTCTGCTTGTAGAGGACCACCAACATCTCGACAAGGACGATTGCAAAAACTAGACTCGAAGCAACGGCGTCCTCAACCACGGTCGATTCCGTCAACTCTACGCCTATAATCTAGCCACCATTCGTGCTCCTCCTTTACAAGCTCAATCTCCCTTTGCGTACTATCACTCTTTCCAGGAACTCGAATCTGCTTAGCCTGCGCTCGAAACTTGGTGTGAATGTGCAACCTCTTACGGGGGATAAGGGGTCGAAAGGAAACCGAGGTCTGAGTTTTCATTCCGGGGCGTAATGGTTTATGGCATCGGGAACCATTCATTCAGTACGTGTCCATTGGTTTAATCAACTTCGTTTTGCTGATAACCTTCTGTTGTGTGGTTAGTCAAACGTTGTCGGTTTTTATGGGTCTCGAAGACCTTGCCTTGAACCGTCAGAAGCCCATACTTGTGCAATCCCTTTCTACGCGTCAACCACTTTCAAGTGACTTGGGATCAAAGAAAACGGAGACGCGGTTCTGGTGGCCACGTTTTGGCTTTCATAAACGACCGTCTTGTCTCTGAGGTTCAAGGTACGTTCCCTCTATCATCGACTTTCTTCGGAGCTCCTGATTATGCATCCTACAGTTAACCTTGCATGGAATATCTCAACTCACGCATTCTAGCACGACGATATAAACAACATCTCGTAAGACACCTGTACTTCCAGAACCGACGCCGAGGGCGGTTCACCAGCCCATTGAAACTCCAGCCAGTTCATGCTCTGCGTTGACGCTGTCCTATCACGTAACACATGTTTCACGTTCAACATACATTGTAGTCCGACACAGTGTCGCCAATCGTTCACTTCAACAACAAAATCCGACGTATTCAACTTTTACATGATCTTGCAAACCTCTCGAGCCTTCTATTCAACCTCGAAACCTTCACTCTCCCTGTGAACACGATGCCCTCTTCCTACCCTTCGAAAATCAAAAATGCTATTTGCGTAACGAGACGTCGACGTACGTCCTCTTTTGCTTTGCCTCCTTTCTCGATGACGAGCTAACGGGTTGTGTTCATAGGTTTGATGACATGGCAGTCGGGCCTGTTCTCCAAAGCATCCACGTCATACTTGGGGGGACGCCGTCCAACGTCTGCCGGGGGTGAGAGGTACTTGTAGCAGATTGTGATTCCTCGCCGGACTGACCACACTGGTCCTTACCATATTTTATCATAAAACCATGGCCTAGGCCAGGAAGGCCTTGTGCATAGCTCCACATACTTTTATGAAAAGTATATCATATATATCCCAGGCCCTTTTATGATAAGGATTTTTTTCATAAGAGGCCTTGTGCATTTCAATAACTTTTCATTGCAGGTCACAACTTATCATTAACTGCTTTTCATTGCAGTCCAGCCATTTTCATTGACCACTTTTCATTGCTGGCCAGCCCTTTTCATTATCCACTTTTCATTGCTGCTGGCATTTTCATTGGGTGCTTTTCATTGCAGGCCAGGATATTTCATTGGTAGCTTTTCATTGCTCTCTAGGATTTTCATTGGCTACTTTTCATTGCAGGCCAGCCTTTCTCATTGACCACTTTTCATTGCAGGCCAGGATATTTCATTGGATACTTTTCATTGCAGGCCAGCTCTTTTCATTGACTGCTTTTCATTGCTGCTGGTATTTTCATTGGTAGCTTTTCATTGCAGGCCAGGATATTTCATTGGATACTTTTCATTGCAGGCCAGCTCTTTTCATTGACTGCTTTTCATTGCTGCTGGTATTTTCATTGGTAGCTTTTCATTGCAGGCCAGGATATTTCATTGGATACTTTTCATTGCAGGCCAGCTCTTTTCATTGACCGCTTTTCATTGCAGGCCAGCCCTTTTCATTGGCTGCTGTCAGGTGGGTCATCAGGAGAATGGTCACATGACCAGTTGCCTAAAATGGTTAAAAACAAAAATTGTAGTCCTGCACTGTAGCTTCCTGAATCTGTTTAAATTATGTTGTAAAGTGCTTTCATTGTAGAGATATGAGGTAAAATATTTTTCTCATCACCAGGTTTTTTTTTGTTGCATTTTTTGCATTTTTCTCCATGAAAACAAAACCAAACAAGATGATTTCAACACATTTAGAAATCCAAGAGAAGAGGCTACAATTATCATATCGTGGGAAAATTGTGCCAAAAAGGAAGGTGCATACCTTAAAAGGGAAATTGACATGGATAGCCTGCAAAAGGCTACAAAAAGTCTGACATAGACTATAAGGACCACTGATAGACTACAAAAGACTACAAAAGTTGGACATACCTTACAAAGTTTAAAGTTTACTAATAGACTATACAATTTACTAAAAGACTACAAAAGACTACAAAATGTCGGAAATAGACTACAAATTTTACTAACATAAGTTTCTAGTGTCCCCTTTTTTTAGACTACAAAAGTTTCTATTGTCTGCTATTTGAGACTACAAAAGTTGTAGTGTCCCCTTTTTTCAGACTACAAAAGTTTGTAGTGTCTGCTATTTGAGACTACAAAAGTTTGTATTGTCTGCTTTTCAAGACTACAAAAGTTGTAGTGTCTGCTTTTTTGAGACTACAACAATTTGTAGTGTCCACTTTTTGAGACTACAACAATTTGTAGTGTCCACTTTTTGAACCTACAAAAGTTTGTCTTGTCTGCCTTTTTGACACTACAAAAGTTTGGAGTGTCTGCTTTCTGAAAGTACAAAAGTTTGTAGTCTGATTTTCTGACATACACTGTGTAGTGTCTTTGACTATGTTAAGGTTCATGGGGATATGGCTGAAGGATTGAGTTGGCTTGACACCCATCTATCTATTGCTGCATCAGTGGTTTTGTATCATGCTCAACTCATCTTTGACATAAGTAGAGCCTATTCTATCCTTTCATGTTAATAGTTACTCTCCTCTCTCAAACTATACTTGACTCTGATTCATTAGTCCATGATGAAAAAGCCTTACCAATTTCAAGATTGTCTTTCTCACATGACTCCTCAATGAAGATTGAGAAAGAGACATGACCCAATTGCTCCTTATCCTTCACCTATCAGTCCTTCTGAATGAGCTAAGATTGAATGATGAAAGGTTGGAAGGTATCAAGGGATCATGCTATGAAAAGCCTGGATAGGCTGCCAGGTATCACACACAATTCATATTTTCAGAGAAGTCACTTTCAACAATAACTATAGTCAAATACAACAGTGGCTACTAATGTGAATACCAGGTCAAAGATAGGATGGTGGCTTCTGATTTAAAAAGAGAGGACAACTGTCCTAATGCAAAAGACAGGTTGAGCATGATACCAAAACCAATGATGCAACAATGTATATATGTCAATCCTTCAACCATATCCCCATGAACCTTAACATAGTCAAAGACACTACACAGTGTATGTCAGAAAATCAGACTACAAACTTTTGTACTTTCAGAAAGCAGACACTCCAAACTTTTGTAGTGTCAAAAAGGCAGACAAGACAAACTTTTGTAGGTTCAAAAAGTGGACACTACAAATTGTTGTAGTCTCAAAAAGTGGACACTACAAATTGTTGTAGTCTCAAAAAAGCAGACACTACAACTTTTGTAGTCTTGAAAAGCAGACAATACAAACTTTTGTAGTCTCAAATAGCAGACACTACAAACTTTTGTAGTCTGAAAAAAGGGGACACTACAACTTTTGTAGTCTCAAATAGCAGACAATAGAAACTTTTGTAGTCTAAAAAAAGGGGACACTAGAAACTTCTGTAGTCTAACCAAAGGGGACACTAGAAACTTATGTTAGTAAAATTTGTAGTCTATTTCCGACATTTTGTAGTCTTTTGTAGTCTTTTAGTAAATTGTATAGTCTATTAGTAAACTTTAAACTTTGTAAGGTATGTCCAACTTTTGTAGTCTTTTGTAGTCTATCAGTGGTCCTTATAGTCTATGTCAGACTTTTTGTAGCCTTTTGCAGGCTATCCATGTCAATTTCCCTTTTAAGGTATGCACCTTCCTTTTTGGCACAATTTTCCCACGATATGATAATTGTAGCCTCTTCTCTTGGATTTCTAAATGTGTTGAAATCATCTTGTTTGGTTTTGTTTTCATGGAGAAAAATGCAAAAAATGCAACAAAAAAAAACCTGGTGATGAGAAAAATATTTTACCTCATATCTCTACAATGAAAGCACTTTACAACATAATTTAAACAGATTCAGGAAGCTACAGTGCAGGACTACAATTTTTGTTTTTAACCATTTTAGGCAACTGGTCATGTGACCATTCTCCTGATGACCCACCTGACAGCAGCCAATGAAAAGGGCTGGCCTGCAATGAAAAGCGGTCAATGAAAAGAGCTGGCCTGCAATGAAAAGTATCCAATGAAATATCCTGGCCTGCAATGAAAAGCTACCAATGAAAATACCAGCAGCAATGAAAAGCAGTCAATGAAAAGAGCTGGCCTGCAATGAAAAGTATCCAATGAAATATCCTGGCCTGCAATGAAAAGCTACCAATGAAAATACCAGCAGCAATGAAAAGCAGTCAATGAAAAGAGCTGGCCTGCAATGAAAAGTATCCAATGAAATATCCTGGCCTGCAATGAAAAGTGGTCAATGAGAAAGGCTGGCCTGCAATGAAAAGTAGCCAATGAAAATCCTAGAGAGCAATGAAAAGCTACCAATGAAATATCCTGGCCTGCAATGAAAAGCACCCAATGAAAATGCCAGCAGCAATGAAAAGTGGATAATGAAAAGGGCTGGCCAGCAATGAAAAGTGGTCAATGAAAATGGCTGGACTGCAATGAAAAGCAGTTAATGATAAGTTGTGACCTGCAATGAAAAGTTATTGAAATGCACAAGGCCTCTTATGAAAAAAATCCTTATCATAAAAGGGCCTGGGATATATATGATATACTTTTCATAAAAGTATGTGGAGCTATGCACAAGGCCTTCCTGGCCTAGGCCATGGTTTTATGATAAAATATGGTAAGGACCAGTGTGGTCAGTCCGGCGAGGAATCACAATCTGCTACAAGTACCTCTCACCCCCGGCAGACGTTGGACGGCGTCCCCCCAAGTATGACGTGGATGCTTATGGTAAGCACCACTCCTGACCAAGCTCTTAGCGGCGGCGAGCAACAAAACATACAGTGCACGTAGTAACAACACCGCCATGTACCTTCCAGAGAGGCCAAATGGAGGAGGGCCATAACAGCCTGAACTACGCGAAGCAGTTTTGTCGAAGAGGGTGATCGTGTATAGGGCAGGCAGTATGTAGACGTAGGCGATATTTTTCGTAAACTAAGAACGAGAATACCAGTAAAAAATGAGAGCCGGACGGCGTGACAGAAGAGCAGTGAACCTTTGAAGGGGTACCTTATTTCCCCAACATCTCCCTAACCCAACCTCTCAGTCCAGATCAAAGTCAAAAACCTCCTCCCAATCACCCTCCCTCGTATCACCTTCCTCACCCGCGTACACCGTCAGCGAGGCTGAGATCGTCAGTCCAAGCACCGTCTTGGATTTGGAGGATGAACTGCCTGCCATTCGATAGGCTGGTGGACGGATCAGTGCACCTAGTGGCAGTTTCCCAATGACAGGAAGGGTGGCTTGTGAGATGTGTTGTTGAGCTCTATCAGACACAAACGCGGAGGTCCGGCTCAAAGAAGAGCGATTACGACGCGAATCCGAGGTTCCTCCAATCGAGTGAACGCCGTTCGTAGACTTTGACTTTTTGCGCGCGTAGAGGCTTCCGTCGAGATCTGCATCTTCGTCGTCTTGCTCTGCTGCTATTGGAGGAGGGCGGATACGAAGTCCCCGAAGTCTTCTTTCGTTTGCTGGGATTGGGAGTGAGATTGCGAACGACAATGAGACCCCCACGAAGACGTAGCCGTCGTCCCCCCACCAGCCCCAGCACCACTAGGCCGCTTCAGCAACGCCAACCCACCACTCCCCTGAAACCCTTCAAACTCCTCCCCATCGCCAACACCAGCCCCTTCATCTCATTCCTCCTTTGCCTCCTCTCCTCCTTACGCTTCGCCTCTGCATTGGCTGCTTCACTAGCTTTGGACATGGAGATGGATTGGATGGTGGGCAACGGCGCGGCGTCAGAGTCGAAGGTATACGTTGCTGTGGGTGTGCTTCTACCACCGCTGCTGTGACGACGGAATAAGGGCGCATCATCGTTATCGTCTGGGAGTTGGATGGGTGGTGGTCGTCCAAAGAGGTCAAAGCCAAATAACGTTATCCTCCGACGCGTCACATTCGCACCCGTCTTGGACTTCCGTTTTCCTCCCCTTCTTTCCCTTCCAGGGTTCGAAGGCAAGGAAGGTGTCTCCGCCCGCTCGTTATCCGAAGGATCCACTATGATCCACTATGAGACCTTTCTCGTCTACGGGCGGGGGATTGGGTTGGTGGTGGGGTCGCATGGCTCTGGCCATTCTTCTCCTTATGGCGAGGTGTGAAGTCGATTGGTGTGTAGATATCAGAGGACGACATGAGGCGAAGGCAGGGCATGCATGAGCCCAATGCGATTTGGGTCGTGTCGGTACATGGGAAGGGTCTTATCATTTGGCAGGAGAGTTTGTTGGGTTGAGAAAATGGAGGGAAATATGAGGAGGACGTGATTGTGATCACCCGCAAGGGCGTAGCTTCACCGTCCTCAAAGGACGTGTTGTCGTTGTACAGGACTCTGCAGAAAGTGGGGTCAGTTTATCCCTTGAATAGCGGATGAAGGAGGGCGTACCTCAGAGATATACCCGCATCCCAAGAAGAACGTGGAATGAGTGACAAGATATAGGTCTATTCGCGCATTGCAATGAAGGTCTGAGTACCGAGATTTAGTTGGCGTTGTGGAAGACAGGATGCGATACACACCTCGCAAAGGTTGCCCGGGCCACTTCTCTCAATGCTCAGCGTCTTGAACGTATCAACTGTACCGCTCCAAAGAAGGTGCCTACAATCGTCGATGATCACCGTAAGTTAGACGTGATCATTGAACTACAAAAACAAGATACTTGCTTCATGAGCGTGCTCGGTTGACGAGCTGATGCGACTCGTCGATAGTGCAGGTCCTTGAGCACATCATTGACAATTAGTGGAAAGAGACGCGAGGAAAACAAACGCTGGTCAACAAGAATTTGATCAACGTGAACCTCGACCATCCCCGCCCAACTTTACTAGTCTATCACCTACCGTTCGCCCGCCTCGGATTTACAATCAATCTTATCTTCGCAAGTGAGACTCATGCTGCCCAGCTGTCCTGCCCGAGACTCGCTCAGGTGAGAGCTTAAATAATCTGTCTTTGACAATTGCTTATTGAGTGTCAAGCTAACACGGGAATGGAGAGATCACACTTACGCACAAGGTGGTTAAAGCTTTGGAACGTCCACCGCACGACGGATATACGAGATGGGATGGGTCTATAGCAGCAGTACGTATCCATCCGTATTCGTTCAACTACTTTTTCACTTACAACCCTCGTTTCTCTCTGTCAGTGAGGCAATGTCGGTTTCCTCGTGTCCCGCGAATGCTTCACCGCCGTGATCCTGGTTCGCGGATGTTTTGGAAACCCTGCCCCCGCGTCATACAGCCCTCAAATGAAATGAGAGATCGACGACAATTGGACGGTTGTAGGCTACGTATGAGACTGTCTTGTCGCTAAAGTTTATGGTACTTGCCCTCTTTCATCAACTTTCTGCAAAATAGCCATCACGCATTCAGGACTAAAAACAATGGAGTGTAGGTCTCCATGGCGTAGAGGAGAGGCTGGTCGTGCGACTGTGAACGGGTTCCTTTCTTCAAAGGACCATCACCAGGGGGTAATTCGCTCACCCATACCAACTTACTTTTGCGGCGGTCGACTGCCCTGTGTTTCGTGACGACGCTGTCCTTCGGTTCGCCCACTTATATCTCAACACTCCGCAGCTCTCAACTCAACTACGGTAACTCAGCGGCAATGCGATCTTCGATGTGCTATCAGGGAATCTTGGACTCAAAATTGGACAACTATGGAACAAGTAGGATCGGAATTCTACCCCGGGCCTAGAGCCTTTCTTGCTTTTGGTATGACATGACTGCCTCCTCTTGACGATGAGTTGATCGATTGGTTTTTTGTAGGATCCGTGACGTAGCGAGGCCTCTGCAGCGAGGAACCAATATCAGCCTCACGACGGCATCGTCTGTCGCCTGTCGCAGGGCTACCCCCCTCATTCAGCTGCGACACTCTTAAATATCCTCCTAGAGCGCTTGAAGTGCAACCGACGCCCGTGCGGATCAGTGTCAACAATACCTGGACATGGAGAGCCGGGTGATTCGAGGATCAGTGACAGAAATGGAATCAAAAGGGGAGTCCTACTTTGGATGGTGATGAAAGAACGAACTGTAGTTGTCATAAACACGTGGTTTATGATGCTGGGTTAGGTACGTCCGCTCGTCTTTTGGCTTTCTACGTACTCAACATCTAACATTTGTCGTAGGTTTCTGGTATCATCTTCATGGTGGCCTCGATTTTGTTTCCAATCCGACAAGTAAAATACAGCCCCCTCTTCCCTTCGTCACCTTGTCAATAGTTTGGCTTCCCTTTCTCGCCGCTTTCTGTTGACGCTATTTGTTTCGGCGCTTCCTCGCTGACTTAATTCCAAGTGGGCGTTAACCTTTCTGAAAGCTGTGCATCTTCGGCCGGAGGAATGTCAATCAAAAACGTCAGCTGACGCTGTGAAGCCCACTTAGAGAATTGACGCCGCACAGCATCGACACTCTCTTCCGAACCACCATGTCTGATCCTAGTGGCTCACGCAAAAATCCTTTGAAACGCAACTTTGAGGAATTGCCTGATCACCTCACGATCGCTGAGGGCCCATCTAATAAACGCCGTGGCGATTCGAGGTTAGAGTTCATAATCCCACGCTGCTTGATAGCGTCTTGACAAGGTCTAGGTTGACTTCTGCAACGGCGCCTGACGTTGCGGGGGAAGCGATGTCCCTGGTGTGTGCTTACAATACACTCTTACGTTCTTTGACTCACATCCTTTGCTTCTGATGCCCAAGCATGTAATGCAGGGAGCACACAGTGTCGTTATGAGGGATTCCACACTCTATGTGGCGCAAAATGTGTGTCTTTTCATCACGGCTTTTAGGGTTTGAGATATGACTCTGACTTTTTGTCAAGATTGAAGTTCATGAACATGCCGGCAGGGGTCAAGATGATACACTCCTTGTTCCCCAAAGACCCAATTCAAGTGCTTTATTTACAGGTCGTGAGGATATTCTCAAGAGGCTAACAGATCACTTTGCACCTCAGAATCAAGTAGATGGAGGCAGAAAGTCATTTTTGTTGTATGGTATGGGGGGAATTGGAAAGACACAGATTTGTTTGAAGTTTGTTGAGGAGATGGCTGGAAGGTAAGTTTCTTCAATGTAATATCTCTGATTTTATGACAAGTGCATGCAGATTCTCCCACATCTTCTGGATTGATGCTTCTTCTGAAGATACTATTGCTCTTGGTTTGAAGGGTCTTTGTTCTCATCCTGAGGCTAAAGCTGCTAATATCTCTGTGTCCTCTATGTCTGCTCTTATCTGGATTGCATCTCTGCAGTCTAAATGGCTGCTGGTGTTTGACAATGCTGATGGTGCACCTGAAGTTGTAGAGAAATTTATTCCACCTGGCTCTGAGGGCAATATTCTGGTTACTAGCAGAAATCCATCTCTTGGGTGTATTACATCTTATGATAACTCTCTGGAAGTTGATCAGATGGCTGAAAAGGAAGCCATATCACTCCTAGTGAAAGCCAGCCATCTAAGTGAGCTGCCAGAAAATGTTTACAGCATAGCTCAGCAGATTGTAAATGAGCTCTGCCGTTTGCCTCTGGCTGTCAATCAAGCAGGAGCTTCTATTCAAGCTGGTCTCTGTAGTATTAACAATTATCTTGATCATCTCTCTCGACATAGAAAAAAGCTCATGAACCACCCTTCATTTAGGGGAGCATCTCAGTACAATCGTACAGTCTATGAGACATGGGATTTGTCATTTAATGAAATTGAATCAAGGGCAAACAATGAATCTGATGGGCATGGCAGAGCAGCTGCTCAGGCTGCTATTCTTATTCTTGAAACTGTTGCATTCCTACATCATGAGAATATCATTGAGGCTGCTTTCAGAAAGGCTGCTATGGAGTTCTCTAAAGGACATCACAGCAGACTGGAAAGAAAAGTCAAAAGCTGCATCACCCAATTGCTTCAGCTGGAAGAGGATCAGTGTTGGAATGAATTCTTCTTTCATGAAGGAATTAGAGTTCTTATGTCCTTTTCTTTGCTCAAAAGAGGCTCAAGCCCTTCAGAAATCTATACCATTCATCCATTGATGCACCAATGGAGTAGAGATAGGATGTCAATGTTTCAAAAAAAGTGCATGATGCAGGTGTCAAGATTTATCCTTGTTAACTGCATTACAAGAGATATGACAGCTGAGAACATTGCATTTAACAGGGTTCTTGTACCACACATCAAAGCCAATTACCAGTTAGAGAGAGAAAATGGCTTTGAGAGTGTGTTTGATGATGATGAATATTCCAATTTCAGTTATGTATTCTCTAAAAATGGAATGTGGAAAGATGCAGAGTATCTTGAATATCAGATAGTAGAAATGAGGATGAAGAAGCAGGGAATGAAACATCCATCAACACTGACCAGCATGGGAAATCTTGCAGTCACATATTCACAACAAGGAAAATATGAAGAGGCTGGGAAGCTGCAGCTGAAAGTCCTGGATCTGCAGACAAGGGTGTTGGGGCCAGAACATCCATTAACATTGACCAGCATGGGAAATCTTGCAAGAATATATTCAGCCAATGGAAAATATGAGGAGGCTGCAGAGCTGGAAGTAAAGGTTCTGGATCTGTGTAAAAGGATCCTGGGGCCTGAACATCCAGATACTTTGACCAGCATGAATAATCTTGCAGCCACATATCCACACCAAGGAAAATATGAGGAGGCTGGGGTGTTGAAGCTGAAAGTCTTGGATCTGCGTACAAGGCTGTTGGGCCCAGAACATCCAGATACATTAACCAGCATGAATAGTCTTGCAGTCACATATTTACACCAAGGAAAATATGAGGAGGCTGGAAAGCTGCAGCTGAAAGTCTTGGATCTGTGGACAAGGCTGTTGGGGCCAGAACATCCAGGTACTTTGAATAGCATGGCAAATCTTGCAAGTACCTATTCAGCTCAAGGAAAACATGAAGAGGCTGGGGAGCTGAACCTGAAAGTCATGGAACTGCGTACAAGGCTGTTGGGGCCAGAACATCCAGATACATTGACCAGCATGAATAATCTTGCAGTCACATATTCAGAGCAAGGAAAACATGAGGAGGCTGGGGAGCTGCAGCCGAAAGTCTTGGATCTGCATACAAGGGTGTTGGGGCCAGAACATCCAGCTACATTGACTGGCATGGCAAACCTTGCAAGAACATATTCAGACCAAGGAAAACATGAGGAGGCTGAGGAGCTGGAGCTGAAAGTCTTGGATCTGCATACAAGGCTGTTGGGGCCAGAACATCCAGATACATTGACCAGCATGAATAATCTTGCAGTCACATATTCAGAGCAAGGAAAACATGAGGAGGCTGGGGAGCTGCAGCTGAAAGTCTTGGATCTGTATACAAGGGTGTTGGGGCCAGAACATCCAGCTACATTGACTGGCATGGCAAACCTTGCAAGAAGATATTCAGAGCAAGGAAAACATGAGGAGGCTGAGGAGCTGGAGCTGAAAGTCTTGGATCTGCGTACAAGGCTGTTGGGGCCAGAACATCCAGATACATTGACCAGCATGAATAATCTTGCAGTCACATATTCAGAGCAAGGAAAACACATGGAGGCTGAGGAGCTGGAGCTGAAAGTCCTGGACCTGCGTAAAAAGGTTCTGGGGCCAGAACATCCAAATACCTTAAACAGTATGAATAATCTTGCAGTCACATATTCAGACCAAGGCAAATATGAGGAGGCTGAGGCACTGCTGAAGTCTCTGGATCTACATGGGTAATAATGTCTCAAGGTAGGCATTTTTTGCCCCCCAAAGCAAGAAACCAAGGGCACACATTCCAAGATATACATAATAACATACATACTTTTACAATGAACCAGACAAGAATAAAAAACCTAGCTTATGAAGTTCAGAAGAAAAAAAAGATATCCAAGTTGGGCTCTAAGCTCTTCTGGATGAGGAAGAAAGAAATAATACTTGGAACTTGAAAGTTGAAACTGACATTCAGAAGAGAAACAAGCTTTCCATTTCAAGCTATGCCCCCTTATTTTCTCATAAATAACATGCAGAATCAGAGAAGATCAAAAAAATATAAGCATCTAAAATTCACGATAGAGCAAAAAAATGAAAAATATGGCCATAGATGGGGGCACCGCGGATCAAAGGTAGGAAATATATACAACCCCTTTATGTACATGCTTCAGTCTGTTGTTCTCCCAACTGAGCTAAGTGTGGTCTCTGTACAATAACGATATTGGATATTGCGATTAGTAGTAGAGTGACAAGAAACGTTCAAATTCGCCACTCGCACCGAAGCATAACCTGCACGGCGAAGGCAATCGAGGTAAGTTGTAAGGAATGACATACTAAAAAAAATAAGCATATGTTACACCAATCCTCCATCCATCCAGTATATATAATCAATGTATGAGCATATAGGAAGCAGGCGGGGTCGCGCTATCTGGGAGGGGAGGGGTATAGGTCGGTCTATCCAAAAAAAAAATACACGTAGGCCGTGGCACTCACACCCCATCTCCACCTCCTTCCCCTACCTTCTCATCCCCCCGCCTAGCCAAAAACGCACCAAAATCACTAGACCTCTTCCCCCCTCCCCCTCCGAAGCCTGTCATTAGGAAACCGCCGCCACCACCACCAATCCGTCCAGCATCACCTCCAATCCGTCCTACAGGCATCTCATTGAGATCATTTTCCAAATCGAAGAACCCCTGTCCCTGCTCGACGGTACTGGGACTAATGATTTGAGCGTCGCTGAAGGCTGGTGAGGAAGGTGATTGGAGGGAGGGCGATTGCGAGGATGTGTTGGATCTTGATCGTGATTGGGAGGTCGAGGAGCGTTTGGATTTCGATTTGGGCCGGTTGGGGTTGGGGACAGCAGGATTGGGTTGGGCTCGGTCAGACGCAGACGCGGAGGTCCGGCTCAGCGACGAGCGATTACGACGTGAATCCGAGGTACCTCCATTCGAGTGAGTGCCGCTTTTGTCTGTTTGCGCGCGTACAGGCTTCCGTCGAGATCTGCGTGTTCATCGTCTTCCTCCGCTGCTGCTGTTGGAGGAGGGGCGGATACGAAGTTCCCAAAACCTTCTCTTGATTGCTGGGATCGAGAGTGAGACCGGGAATGAGAGCCCGACGAAGACGTAGTCGCCGTCGTCCCCCCACCAGCACCACTAGGCCGCTTCAGCAACGCCAACCCACCACTCCCCTGAAACCCTTCAAATTCCTCCCCACCACCAACAACACCAGCCTCCACGAGCCTGTTCATCTCCTTCCTCGCTTTCCTCCGTTGTCTCCTCTCTTCTTTACGCTTTAGCTCCGCCTTGGCTGCTTCACTAGCTTTGGAGACGGAGATTTGTTGGATGGTGGATATGTCTAGCGGAGCGGCGTCGGAATCGAAGGTTTGGGTGGTTAGTGTTGTTGTGGGTGTGCTGCCACCCCCGCTGCTGCTGCGGTGACGATGGAATAAGGGTGCGTCGTCGTCGTCGGGTGGGAGTTGGATGGGTGGTGGTCGTCCGAAGAGGTCGAACCCGAAGAGCGTTATCCTCCTAGGCTTCCCATTCGTATTCGACGACTTGGACTTGCGTTTTCGTCTGCCCCCTCTGCTTCCTCTTCCAGGGTTCAAATGCAACGAAAGTGTCTCTGCACGCTCGTTATCCGAAGAATCGGCTAGGAGACCTTGTAGCTCGTCAGGACGTGCGCGGGGGATACGGTTGACAGTGGCATTGTACTGTTCTTCCCCTCCTGATGTCGAGTTGGGTCGTTGATTGGTAGTGTTGTGTAAGCTGTCCGAAGAAGAAACAGGGCGGAGGCACGGCATACATGAGCCCAGTGTGATTTTGGCCGATGAGAAGGAGGTCGTCATCGCTGTCGTTGTTGGCGGAGGATTGGGTGGGTTGGGAAGTTGGAGGGAGATTGCTGGGCCACTTCGTTTAATTCTCAACGTCCTCTAGGTATCAACCATACCGTCAAAAGCAAGGTGCCGGCAATCTTCAAAGCCTGATGCAGTCATCGACTCCGAATCCCTAAGATGGTGATGACTACAAGTTAGACTTGATTATTGAATCAAAGAAACAAGATAGTTACTTCATGACCTTGCTCACTTGACGAGCTGATGCGACTCGTCGATAGTGCAGGTTCTTGAGTACATCGTTGACGAAAGTGGAAAGAAACGCGAAGAAAACAAACGTTGATCAACACCAACGTCGTCCTCGACCACCACCATTATCACCTCCAACAAATATGCTGGCCTATCAGCTACTGTTCGCCCGCCTCGGACTCATACTTACATTCAACTATCCAGCTCTCCTGCCTGACTGTCCAAGGTCCATCCCCCTCGATATCCGACATCTTGAACGAATATCCCCTCCAGTACTACCAATCTTCGAGACTTGGCGCAGTCGTTGGCTTTGAATGCGGTTATTGTAAGTTCGACATGACTATTACATAAATTGGGATGAAATGCTTACTTGGTGACCTTTCTCGCTCTACTAGTTGATGCGGCTCGTCGATGGTGTAAGTCCCTTGGAAAGGTGGTGGTCTACGACGAAGACAAACGTTGATCAGCAATGAATTCATCGACATCGACGTTGCCCTCACATAACTCGAAGATCGCGTCATCTTTTCTAGCTCACCATATACCGTTCATGCGCCTTGGCTACGGACAAACTCGAGCAGCACATGCGCTTCCCCGAGACACGTCAATCACATTTTGAAGTTGGGATCGACAACAACTGGACGACCCCATTCGTTGTGTAAACGGAAGGGTTAAGGTATATCTTCATTGTCATTGATTCCCCCTCCGATGAGCGCCAGTTTTCTGACACTGCACTTGTAGTTAGCGTCGTCGCTTGGACTCGATTCACGCACCTCAGATTCCGCTGACGATGCGCCTGGCATGTCTAATGAAGGAAGGAATGTTTGGTGAGCTGTAGAGGAAAGGATACCTGTGTAGGGGGAGGGTTAAATTTCAAGGCCAGTGCTGTACCCCAGGTACGAGCGCCAATTCTTCAAACAACCATCTTCTGCTAAGACACGTACAGACTAGCCCATAGAAACTCAACCAGCCTGTCAAGCTCATACTCGCAAACTTATATCGGTTTCTTAGAGAGGTCATGGCAGGCGGAGCTAATGGGTAATCGAGTACGTGTTTATCAGATTCATCCAGCCCTCTTCTCGCTGACGACTTGTCTCGCCCGTCATCCAGTGCCGCTCAAATCTCTTACTGGCGCATACCGGTCACCATCCATTATTTCTCCCTTTGTGACGCAATCTCAGGCAGCCATATACACTGCCCGTCAACGTGATGACTGGAGGACGAGTCCGGTCACGGATTTTTACGGTACGTCCACGCTCCATCCCCCTCTCCGTTCTAGTTTTCACAATGCATTCATTAGTACCGTACCATCCCCTGGGTCTTGATTCACGCACGCCAGGGATAGGCTCCGGTCCTTACGACGATGTTCTGAGAACGACGTGTGGCAGAAATGAGATTTTGATGAGGTGCAGAGAAGAGGGAAGTTGAGGGGGAGAAGAACCAAAACCAGTGGTTCATGACAGGTACGAACGTCAATTCTTTGACTGATCAATCCATGCTAATCGTCTTCATTTCTAGAGGGCAGTTCGCTACTCCATAGAAACGCCGGCACCAGTCTGCTGTTCTTTTGGTAAAGCCAAAGATCGACCAATACACGTTCAACGTCCGACGCACTCGACTCACTACGGCGCATTAAATGACCTTGGACTACCTCCTATACGTAAAGCGCTGGGAGATGTCTTGCACGTCCTCTTGCTTTGGGTATGGCTTCAACACCTCAGGCTTTCGACGACGAGCTAATCACACTATCGCTTTGTAGGGTCATTGACGTGGCAACTCTGAGGCGTCAAGTTTACACAAACGAACACACCGTCCCGCAGATGATGAACCAACGCCGACGCGGGGGCTATTCTTTATGGTGTTAAACCTCTCAGCGGGGACGAGGGGCAACACATTCTGCTGGCAAAGGACTACCAGAAAGGACGATTGCATAAACGAACCAATACTAGACTCGAACAACGGCGTCCTCAACCACCATCGATTCCGCCAACTCTACGCCCATAATCTAGCTACCATTCGGGCTCTTCCGATGCAAGCTCAACTTTCCCGTTGCCAACTATCCGCCTTTCCAGGAACTCGAATCGGTTTAGTTCCTGCGCTCGAAACTTGGTGTGAGTGTGCATTCAGGGGGGGAGGTTATGGCATTGGGAACACATGATATTCAGACAGTATGTGTCCTTTAAGTTCATTCAACTTCGTTTTGCTGATAACCTTCTGTCGTCCGGTTAGTCAAACGATGTCGGTTTCTATGGGTCCCGAAAACCTTGCATTGAATCAAGTCAGAAGCCCATACTCGTGCAACACCTTTCTACGCGTCAACCATTTTCAAACACTTGGGATCGAAGCAAACAGAGACTCGGTTCTGGTGGCCACGGTTGGCCCTCATACGCGACTGTCTTGTCGCTGAGGTTTAACGTATGTCCCCTCTACACCGACTTTCTTTGGAGCTCCTGATCATGCATCCTACAGTTCACCTTGCCTGGCATACCTCAACTCACGCGGTCGTCTGGATCCCCCTCGGCAGTCCGGGCCGCATCTTCAACAACGGCTCGCCTCATTTACGACGAAATCACAGCCAACATCCACGCATCCACAAGACATCAAGCAAAATATGAGCACAGTGAGTGTCGTTTCTCTGCTAAAGTGTGCAAGGTTTCCATGCCCCGAAAGAACGGAAAGATTGTGGTGGAAGGGGTGGATGGGGTTGGATGGGGTTGGATGACGTTGCCTTGTTGGAGATGATTGTGTTAGAAAATGGACAGAAGATCGTTGGGCTGACGCTGTTTTCTTGCCTTAGGAATCAAACTCCAAGCGCTTTGTCGAGGTTGGGCGAGGTACGTCATTGTGTAAATGGAATCTCGAGAAAAAATCATTTAACACGTTGAACAGTCGTCCTCCTCAAATCTGTCCCCTTCTCCGGAAAGATCGCCGTCATCGCGGAGATCATCGACCACAACCGCGTATGTCTCCTCAGAATCCTCCCATAAGCTTCCACACAGGCCATCATCGACGGCCCAACAACGGGTGTTCCCCGCCAACCCAGTCCCTACAAGCACCTCACACTCACTCCCCTCAAACTGTCAGGCCTGCCTCGAGGAGCTGGTACGAAAAAGGTCCGCAAAGAGGTCGAGAAAGAGGCCATCGTCGACAAATGGGACACGTCAAGTTGGGCACAGAAGCGTATCGCGGTGCAGAAGAGACTGGCGTTGACCGATTTCGGTCGCTGAAGCGCCATGATGGCGTGCTTCCTCGCGTCTCGCGAATGCTAACCATTCGCCACCTTGATGTTGCCGTCAAACGAATTGGTGACCTAAACGCGAGCAGTCTATCCACTGCCCGTCAACCACTTCTCGTGGGATCGACGATAAATGGAGGGGGAGTTTTTGTGGTTGGTCTACGGTACTTACCCCCATATGTTTGCCACATTCGAAGCGCACGTCGTCTGACTGTGCAACCTTGCTTACAGTAAATTTCTTCTTCTAACCTCTCTTTCATAAATTTCTCAGTTTTACGTCGCCAGGATTCATGGGCTCATGCTGCGGTAATAAGTACTTAGGCCACGTAATACTACTACTCTGATGTAAAAAGTTCGAAATGATATGAATTCGGGTTTCTTTTTAGATGATAATAGATAGAAGGGAACGTTGAATTCCGACCTACACTAACTTGCTGCAAGGAATGTCAAACTGAAAAAAAAGCATACGTAAGAATACACCCTTCACCCGTCCAGTATATATAATATTAAGTGTATAAGCATATAAGAAGTAGTCGTGGTCGTACTATCTGGGAGGGGAGGGTATATCTAACAGATCCGGAGTGAAAGAACAGTTCGGGATACCCCAGAAAATATCAGTAGGTCGTGTAACGCTCACATCCCATCTCCACCTCCATCTCCAACCCGACCCTCATCCCCCCGCCTAGCCAAAAACGCACCCAAATCCCTCGACCTCTTCCCCCCTCCCGTCCCACCAAAGCCTGTCATTGGGAATCCGCCACCACCGATCCGTCCAACCGGAAATCCACCACCATCACCTCCAATTCGTCCTACAAGGAGTGAGGAAGGTGATTGGAGGGAGGGTGATTGGGAGGAGGTTTTTGACCTTGATCTTGATTGGGAGGTTGAGGACTGTTTGGATTTGGATTTGGGGCAGCTGGGGTTGGGGAGATGTTGGTGAGGAAGGGTGGATTGTGCATGTGAGATGTGACTCGGATGAGCTCTGTCAGACATAGACGCGGAGGTACGACTCAAAGAAGAGCGGTTACGACGTGAATCTGAGGTTCCTCCTGGTGCTGCTCGTAGACTTTGACTTTTTGCGCGCGTAGAGGCTTCCGTCCAGATCTACGTCTTCGTCGTCGTCCTCTGCTGCTGCTGTTGGAGGAGGGGCGGATACGAAGTGCCCAAAACCCTTCCCTCGATTGCTGGGGTTGAGAGTGAGACCGGGAATGAGACCCCGACGAAGACGTAGCCGTAGTCCCCCCACCCCACTGAGACGCTTAAGCAGCGCCAACTCACCACTCTCCTGAAACCCTTCAAATTCCTCCCCATTGCCAACAACACCAGCCTCCACGAGCCTCTTCATCTCCTTCCTCGCTTTCCTCCGCTGCCTCCTTTCCTCCTTACGCTTCGCCCCCGCCTCTGCTTCAGTCGCTTTGTGTTGAAGTAGACGTCTCGTGACCTGCTCTGTTTACGCGTACGCTCTTATTTATCACCCTCCTCATTTACTCCCGCTATTTACCAGTCTTTACGTCAAGCCACAATTCTCCTCACATATATACTAAACCTTATTTTCAACCCACCTCAGTCGTTCTTCACTTCACGGTGACTGACGTCTGAGGTGAGTTTATTTTACTATACATTCATTACCTAGATTACTGACTACCTGTAGTTCTATTTCCCTCTACAGGTAGTTTACGCAATTCAGTCGTTCTTCACTTCACGGTGACTGACGTCTGAGTTCTATTTCCCTCTACAGGTTATGGGCCCCGATGCGCTTACCTAGGAAACCAGATTTCAGTCAAATCTACTTTGGGCTATGACTCGCCCCCTACATTTCTGAAGACTTCAGCACGACACATTTCCCACTGCAGCTCGAAGCTGGCCAGGATTTTACCGCCAACTGACACCCACCTACTTGACGTCCCGGTCTCACATTCGCCATACTTTACTTTCATGACGGCTCCGTGTCACTTTACTTCTAGGCACGACATACATTCGACCCCCACATACACTGTGACACACTTGGCCATACATTACATTCGGCTCTCCATTACATCCACGCGCACAAGACACTGACATGCGATCCACACCACTCACCACCCACATTACTTACATCGACGTGCTTTACTTCAGTGATGTGACCTGACCCTACACCCGACTCTCAACCTGACCAAACTACTGCCCCATTGTGTTCCTGACCTACACATACATGGAGCGACACCATAGTCCGTGACCAATCCACGACATGTCACTACCTATCCACACTACACACATTCCAGAAGTTTCTCTCAATGCAAAGGAGTCAGATACCACCGCGTCTGCCACTATCATGTCACTGGCAAAGCTCCAGCACCGCCGTCTGAAAACGCACTTAGAGAGCTATAGCCTGGCTATGTGCTGAGCATGCGTTAGGAGTACGAGAATACGGGAGGGAGGAGAGCCTCTCACGCTCACCGACCGTTGGGATGACTATCAGCAACGGAGAGTTTCGTCATGACACTGGGGAGCGGAAGTGACATAACGAATGGCATGACCTCGAAATGAAAGCAATGATTGCACGCCCTCGCCAACTTCATTTGGTAGGAGGATCACGACATCATTGCGAATGCGCGAATACGGCTGATGAGGGGGATGTGTTTGTACTCACGTCGACCCATGATCCATCTCCACCCCATGCACGCGCAACTTCACCATTCATACTCCTCAACACTCATACCACCTATATATTGCTTCAACATTTAAATCTACACCACGGCCACTCACCCGCACGCAAGAAATCACTCTCAAACCATTGATTTGGACATTGCCTACCAACATTACATCAGCGTTCGTCAGATGCTCTGGAGTATCAAATATCATACACCCGCGGTCACCTCTTCACAGACTTTGTCTCAGTGATTCATAGAAACCTACTCATGCAACTGTAGTCGACGAGGGGGAGATATCTACGCCCATATCAGTGGTGCCCTCTGCACGCGAAATTTGTACTCACACTAACGCCCCCCATGTACCAACGGCCCACCACTGCCCACTGCATCGTCGTCGCCCACACTTGCTTCACCTACACATTCCCTCACATCCACGTTAACAGTCCCAGCACGCATCTCCGTCACCACTTACCGTGCTGTCGTCACCCAACTCACGTCACCCACACTTTGCCCTCTGTACGACCCACCGACCACTCCGATTTCGCCATACCCTTATATACACTGTGGCACCTTCCGCCACATACTCCGAGTCAGTTGCGATGACGATCGTCTCTATACCCTCCTTTTTCCAATCAAGTTTGATTCCAGCTTCAACGGCGTGTAACTCTGCGCGATTGTTAGTCAATTGATGAAAAGCATCAGGTTCCAGTCGGAATGAGCAACAAGAGATGGGCGAAGGGTTAGCCCAAGAGGTGTCAGATTCACCGATCACACACGTTGAGTCCCACGGGTGGGGGGGGGGGGGGTACAGCCACCGGTTACACATAGCCGTAGCACAACCGGAAAATTCGGCAAGTCGGCAACAGCGACGTAGGAATTTCATTGTAATGTAGAGTCACCTCATTTATCTTTGACGTGTCGCGCCTCCTAAACGAGACACGTCCTTCCCGACACTCATTCACACAACATGCCTCACTGATACTGTACATAGTGTCTCTTCACATTCTTTGTCAAATATTCCAAGTCCCACTGACAGATCCCCTTCACAACAATCAAATCAAGTACTTTGCGGCCTCTGTTATGAGCTTATCGGGAAGTGTAACATCTCCATCCAAAGTGGAAAAGCGCGCTCCACATGTTCAAAGGCCTACAATTTCATGATTCACGTCGCCGCAAAGATGACCGCAAAGAAAGCCTGCACAAACGTACCTATTAAATGTGATTTCTGTTCTGAAATTCACTGGAAGTACAATATATACAGACACCTTCAAGAACGGCATGCTTCATGGGAACGGCGAGGAGATTACAAGAAGTTTTCTGACAAGATTTCTATTTTGCCGGAGGAGGAGGAAAGATTAGGTATACCTGAGGATCGCATCGGTAATTCTGCCATCGCGCAATTAACTCACGACGCTCGCCACATGAATCGCTTACCAACAGTTCGTGATTTGCATAGTGATTCTCCTCGACGACCTCGGAATCACACTCAACCAATGCAACATCCATCCGTAGCAATACCATTTGCTTTGGAAACACCCAATTCCCATTTTTATCAACAACAAATGGACATTTTCTATTGATTTGTAGATACCAAATTCTAATACTTACTTAACGTTCAATATTCGCGTCGTCGAGCTTACATTTGGACGTCTAGCGGAGTTGTATTTTGTTTGATGCGACTGCTAATGCTGTTAAAATGCCGGAGCTCGGAAATGGCCGCTGTCAAACTCTCGTGACAGATCTGACGTCCAGCATCGCCGGATCTGACACCTCTTGGGTTAGCCACAACGCCGCAGCCGCGCGTACATCAGGTTGTCCATTATTAGGCGCTGCGCCGTCGGCGAAGATGAGGATCCTCTGGTCATCGTTTGTACTTTCCCAGTGCGCTGGCTTGCGGGAGTAGTTGGGGGCAAACACATAGTCCAAGGGGTTCCAACCAACAAGGTTGGGGCCATTTCACAAATTGTATACCTGCACCTGCATTAGCGACACACCCCCTTACATGCACGGTATTACTCACTAATTGCACGTGCCTTCATCCACTACGCTGTTGTCGCCCACACCACATTCTCACCAGCCTCGAGAACGACGCACCGCACGAATCGCCTTGACATCGCCCGAGATGCTCCTTGAGTTTTCATCGACCATCCCACAACACCCTGAACCCATCCAGACCCCAAGACGACGTATCTCCGTCCGCAAAACGAATGGACACCACCCTCCAGCTTTCAACTTCACCATGGGTCCTTCAGGCTTCGACGCGACGTGTCGCCATCCGATAAACACTGTTTCTACGCGCGGGTCGCTTGCAGACATTGGATGGCCATGGCGCAGTTGAGAACCTGTGTCGTGTAGAGTCACCACCCACTACACCGTCCTACACTGTCGCTGCCCACACTCGCTTCGCATACACATTCCCTCCTATGCATTCCTCAAATTCACCAACAAACGTCTTGTTCGCTAAGATGCACTAAATATCTGGATGTTTAGCAGGCGCCGGATACAACGACACACTCACCATCACTTTGTCTAAACGTCACCGGCGCAACTCATCCTGGCACCAATGGTTATTTGGGGAGAAATAAATGCCCACGAGTTTACGTAATGATCTCGGTGTTGCCTCGGATCTTGATGTTCACGCACATCCTCTGCAGTGCTGCCAAACCCGCCTCATTACATACCTATTTCATTCCCTATCGCCATTCTTGGAGAACGGCGCATACTACTGCACAATCGGAACACGGGACTCGGTAGAGCTTAGGAATCTGGAACTCTCATCCACCTTCCGCCTTGTCGCACTCATTCCATCTACCGCGGGACACCTTCCACCTTCCATCGTACGCCCTCAGCCTCCCTTATAGGCCTTCCACCTCCAGATGTCACATGATCAATAGAGGGGTTTGTTCAACTCAACATTACATCGACAAACCACGCACACACAGTCTCACCTCGCATGTTGTTCATAATGCAGGTCTAATCGACAGGCTCATAACCTCACGTCCTCGACCAAAAGTACGTTCTTCCACCACGGTAAAGGGACATCCAGTCTTGGTGGTGCAACACTTTGATGGCTTCCTAACGACTTTTTCTCACTAATACTGGCCATCTGAACACTATTGTTCCCTCCGACGGTGACAAGCTCACTCCACAGAACTCAGGGAGTATCCCAATCACCACATTACCTCAGCCAGCTGCATCCATTGTCTGCATTTCCCGTACCGCCCACGAAGTTCAATGCATGCTCGAAACTGACAAGCCACAAAGTCGACTCCCTCACATCTACAGCTATTCCAACACATATCCCCCATATTAGCCGTCATTCAGAACATTCCAGACTATTGCAAGCCCTTCACATTTACGACAGATATCACGATGTCGGAAAAATCGAAATTAGCATATCAGTGGTTGCGGCAGCTGATGAACATATGCGAACTGATCAGCTTCTTGCGGGCAGCCTTTTCAGTCGGCTATTAGATCATGTCACCACTGGTAAGCTGCTGGTCCGAACAACCAGTATGTAATAAGTTTTTTCCTGGCAAGCATATCAGAAGGTTATCACCTCACATCATCTCTGGTACCTCTAACAAGTCTTGTCCAGCCTACGAGGAGGAGGGATATCATATCTGAGGTGCCGAGGTCATATTGTTTTCAGTGCTGACCGCTATCATGATTTGATCATGATCTGACAAGCATTCCCAACAAAGTTATCGCATCACGGCAAATTATTTCCATCGTAAACGTCCGAACTGTCTGGAACCCATCAACGACAGAGTCCCTCTGTCTAATCTCTTCGTTGTTTTCAACTGTCCATCGCCACCCGTAATACCGCAGTGCTGGGCAGCCATACCTTGCGATGTCCGGTGCAATGTGGTCTCCAATTGTGCTGTTTGAACTCCTGTGGAGTTCAGGAGTGTTGGAGAGAACATACTCCACATCATTGGAGTGGCAGTCGTCATGCTCCAACCTCGTTCCTGTTGCCCTCAAATGTATATAATGTGCAAACACTGTGAGTGAATTCTGCCATGAATCCTCAGCTTGGTCTCATCCCACTTTATTCTCACCCTCTCCTCATCAGACCCACATTGGGTCAGGATGCGATGAGCAGACCGACCAAGACTTTCCGCCAATCCGAATATTCAGGAGCACACCCAACTCTTCTCCTTCTCCTCCACGTAACCGTCCTCATCCTCGTCGCCGTTCTCCAGTAGTTTGGAGACACTCCGAATGATGTTCCTCACTCAGCAAAGAGCCAAGGTTGAGCCAAGGCCCTCTCAATCACGATGTCACCCGCCAAACACCGGACTTGGGACTAGGATTCGGAATCGTATCGAACAATAGAGGCTAGCACATCGGCACGGCGTGGGCCTGGCAAGGTGAGATATTAAACTCTGGTCCGGAAGCGGTGGTTCTTGCGTATGTTCGGGAATTATCTGGAGTCTAGTAGCACTGGCATGTAGATATCAATGTATAATCTTGGTATAATCTTGGTATAATCACAAAACTATTCCGTTACCTTCATATGACTGCCATATTATTAATTGGATAACGTACGACCCCAAATTATCCCAAATCCTCCCCGTTGATGTTGACTCTGGCACATATGTTAGTCATCATGTCCCATACCTAATGTAGTAACCGGATGTGACAATCACTCATGTAACATGAGCCCAGCCGGACCGGCCGGTTTTCTAAACTGTCCCTTAGTGATTGGTACAGCCGTGATTGTTACAATCACCCATCAGCTTGAGGCAGCCGTACTTCTCCCCGACGGTGACTCCTGCGGAGCATGCACATCATCGTCTGACAGCGCGGGTTGCGGCCCACCTTGGGCAAAATGCGGAGCACCTTGTAAATATACTATAAAGATTTTACATAATAATAGGGCCACAGAAGCCAGTCAAACACCATGAGGACTGTCATGGGGAGGATGCATATCATCGTCCGCCGGCTCAAAGTGTGGGGCACCTTGTAAATGTACTACAATGCTTCCACATAACAATAAGGTTGCAGAAGTCAGTTAAACACCATGAATGTGACCCATTGCAGACCTACATGTACTTTTAACAATTCTTTTGGAACCCAAGCAGCCTCCATTAGCTATTGTATATATTATGGGTCCCACAAATACAGCTGAATATGATACACCAGCAGAGGACCTTCCAATAAAAACACATTACTTTTGCATGGGGGACACCTTTTTCTAATAGCTGTGTTGGTCTAGAGCAATATATATATATACTATGAAGCTCCATTAGAGCAGTGCAATTTTTTTTTTACAAAGACTCCGGCGGAGTAATGCAATTCTTTCAGAGAAGACCCCGGCGGAGCAATGCAATTTTTTTAGAGAAGACCCCGGCGGAGCAATGCAATTTTTTTAGAGAAGACCCCGGCGGAGCAATGCAATTTTTTTGACAGAAGACCCCGGTGGAGCAATGCAATTTTTTAAAAACAACTTCGGCAGAGCAATGCAATTTAAAAAAAAAAAGAGCCTGGTGGCCCAACACAATTTTTTAAGAAACAACTCCAGCAGAGCAATGTATATTAAAGAGAACTAAGGAAAATAATGACCAAAGTATATCTTAATAACTCAATCAATGAGGAGAGTGTCTACTGCTAACATAAAAGAATTTTACTAATGAAGGGTGATGAGGTAAATTATCTGTGGACCTACATACATGTATCTCAAAGAGACTCTGGTGGAGAAATGCAACTTTTGTTAAATTGGTTCTATTGGGGCAATGTATATGAGAAGGGAACTTGAATGTAAACAATGTTTTTACTGGAGCAAAATATCTTCTAAATGGCTCTGCTGGAGCAACATATATTTTTTTTCAATAGCTCTGCTGGAGTTATGTATTTCTTTTAAAAATGGCTCCACTGCAGCAATATTTTTTTTAGGTAGTTCTGTTTGAGTAGGCTCTGCTGGAGCAGTGCAATTTCTTATAACAATGGTGCCGCCAGAGCAAAGCATTTTCTTTTCATGGCTCCGCCGAAGCAGTGCAATTTCTTCTAAAGATAGGTCTGGCAGAGTAGTGTATTTTTTTTTTCAATTGGCTCCACTGGAGCAATATATATTTTTTTGAATGGCTCCGCCGGAGCAGTGCAATTTCTTCTAAAGATAGCTCCGCCGGAGCAGTGTATTTTTTTCAAAATGGCTCTGCCGGAGCAGTGCGATTACTAATGATAGCTCTAGCGGAGCAGGGTATTTTTTTTTTTTCAATGGCTCCGCCAGAGTAATGTATTTTCTTAAAAACAGCTCCACTGGAGCAATGCAGCATTTTGGACAATGGCTCCACTGCAATGTAATTTTTTTAAATGCCTCTGGTGGAGAAGTGCAATTTGTTTCAAAATAGCTCCGCTTGGGCAGTAAAACTTTTATAAAGTTGCTCCGGCGGAGTAGTGATTACTTTTTGAGATACAATCCGCACGATGTAACAATGACTTTTAACTCACATAAAAACCATCTCTGTCAAGCTGGAGAAGGCAGAATTCGAATGAGCTAGGCCCAACAATAAGTTGTTCAGGAGAAAGATAAGTCTTGATGGTTTTACTGTAAAATGTACCATTTCACACTTTGTTTGAGCTCCACAAAATTTAATAATGAGTTTCAACCCACGTAGAAACCACCTTTAAAAAGCTTGGAAAAGCATGATTCCAACAAGCTATGCCCGACGATAAGTTGTTTGGGGAAGAGAGAAGTCTTGACGGTTTTATTGTAAAATATAGCATTTCACACATTGTTTGAGCTCCACAAAATGTAATAATGAGCTTCAACCCATATAAGAACCACCTTTGAAAAGCTTGGAAAAGCACGATTCCAACAAGCTAGGCCCGATGATAAGTTGTTCAGAAGGAAAAAAAAGTCTTGATGATTTTCATTGCAATGCCATAATGCAGTCAAGATTTGATAGAGATTATTGACATAAAACACCTTTTCCTATGTTTGTCTATGAAAACAAAACATCTCTTAAAGATTTTTACATAGTAATTAACATGGCAGCTATGTCTATCAACTGGCTGGTTTGGAGGTTATATGGCTTGAAATTGGGTGAGTGCGTTGCTATTCGTCGGGATGCAGGGTCTGTTTGCATCCGGCAGAGGGTCTGTGCATGAGGCGCATCACCTCAATTTGGAATGACCCAGGCACAGATTTCAACTTTGATGGGTCCCTGCCCAGGAACAAGCAGGATAACCGGACCATCCCTGTTGCGGCAATGCCTTTTCACAGTATGTGGCCCTGCATGATGAATACTTGGTTACCTCTGGCTATCAGCAACAGAGCTCATATTGTCTGAATGACCATTAGATTTGTGGTTTTTTAGGAGGTAATGTGCAGTGCTTGGCTTGGCAGAGGATAAAAATTTGGCAGAGGTTGATGGCAGGTTGGTTCTGTGGAGTGTGATAAAAGAGTTACATCACCGGCAGAGAAATGTTTGTTGGTGGGTTGCCCTTGCGGTGTACTTAATTACCTACATGTCTGAAGCTCATTCAGATAGGCCATTATATTTGTGAAGGCAATGTGTGGTGGCTGGTCCTATTGGATATTATAAAAAGAAATTACATCACTGGAGGGGTAATATTTGTGGAAGGATTGCCCTGCTGGTGTAGTTAAATATCTTTTTGAAGTGAATGTGTGAAACTCATTGTAACAGGCCATTATACAAATTTTGCTATGTTTTTGGAGGCAATGTGTGGTGACTGCTCCTACATGGTGGTCCATCGGAGTATTGTAAAAAGAATTACATCATTGACAGAGCGATATTTGCAGAAGGATTGCCCTGCCGATGAACTTAATTTATTCTATTATGAAATTTTTGTTATGTTTTCGGAGGCAATGTGCAGTAGGTTGGTCCCGCATGGTGGTCCGGCGGAGCATCACAAAAAAATTACATCACCAATGGAATAATATTTGCCAAAGGATTGCCTTGCTGATTTACTTAAATAGCTTTGTGTTTTTGTGGTACTCCACTTTTAATGCCTCAAAAAGAAAAGCACTACTCCGCCAGAGTCATTGAAAAAAATACATTGAATCATTTTGCACTTCTCTGCCAGAGTCTTTTTAAAAGAAACAGCACTTCTTCGATGGAGCTTCATGATATATATATATATTGCTCTAGACCTCCAGCAGAGCTATTAAAAAGAAGGAATTTCATTTTCAAATTGAAGTCACAAAAGAAATTTCCATTGCTCCACCTAAGCATTTCAAATTTCTTTTATGCTACCAGCAGATACTCTCCTCATTGATTGAAACACTTTGGTTATCATTTTCATTAGTTCCCTTTAATATACATTGCTCTGCCGGAGTTGTCAAAAAAAATATTGCATTGCTCCGCCGGCATTATCAAAAAAATATTGCATTGCTCCGTCAGAGTTGTTTAAAAAAATATTGCATTGCTCCGCCGGAGTTGTCAAAAAAAATATTGCATTGCTCCGTCGGAGTTGTTTAAAAAAATATTGCATTGCTCCGCCGGAGTTGTTAAAAAAATATTGCATTGCTCCGCCAGAGTTGTTAAAAAAAATATTGCATTGCTCCGGTGGGGCCTTCTTTTACAAATATTGCATTGCTCCACCGGAGTCATTATAAAATATTGCATTGCTCTGCTGGGGTTGTCTTTAAGAAAGATTGCATTACTCCACCCAGGCCTTAAATACCTTTGCAGATTGAATGTGTGGAGCCTCTTCTGACAGATCAATCCAGTATTTGTCATTTATGCAGAGGCAATGTGTGGTGTTTAGTCCAGTGGAGTGTCTTACAGAAATTTCATGTCACTGGTGGAGTGGTCCGGCGGAGTATCATAAAAAAATTACATCACCAAGTGGTGAAACATTTGCCTCACTGGTTGAACTAAGCACTTTTGGCAAAGGAATGCATGAAGCCTCTCCTCACAGAACATTATGAAAATGTTATCATTTCTTTTGGAGGCAATGTGCAGTGCTTAGTAGCTCCAATGAAATCATAGCAAACAACATACATAGATTGACAATATTATGTATGATTTGTATGAGCCAGGCTTGTAATTCTAAGTGTTCATTATGATCATCACCGCCGGTGCAATATTTAGCCCCGGCGGAGGGCAGCTCCGCAGGAGGATATGGCAGTCAAGGTACACCCGGCTACTCCAATCATATGGGCCATTGTTGCTGACGGCCAGCCCATGGTTACTGGGTGATTGTACAGGGTCTGGCCGCCCCTTTCATATTGGGGCCCCACCATCAAACCGGCCGGGCCGGCTGGGCCCTTACCACATGGTTGATTGTCAGGGCCGGGTGGCCCATCACTATTGGGCCATGATGACTAACATAACTGACTCTGGTGGCCGTTGTCGTCACTATTGCCAGTGTTGATCATTTTCACCGGGTAATCGCCCTTGTCAGAAATAATCACGCTGGTCAATAGATATCATGGTGATCATTCTCACAATCCGATATAAATGATTACTGAGCCATATTTTTCCCCCGAAAAGGTGACGGACTGATATGTGCTGATCTCTTCATGTCTCTACATATATCCTAATTTTGATTTTCCCGACAGCAGGTCACGAGACGTCTACTTCAACACTCCCCCAGACGACGAGGGACCTTGAGGGGTGTAGATTGCGTGATCGAGAGTGTTTTTAAAGGTCAAGGACGAGTATAGGGGTGCGCACCGTACCGTAACGGTATACGGCCGTATGCATTCGGTTGCATGACGGCGTCGGGTACACCGAAACCGTTACCGTCGAGTAATCTGCAAGCCAACCGCGGTACGGTCGGTGCAGAACACGACCGTAAACGGCCGTGTTCGGTGGCTTACAAGGAAAGAAAAGTAATTTAATTAACACTAGCTACTGGAGGTATATATTAGCGTTGATCTTTCTTTGTAAGGTTGACGCGTGCAAGCCTGAGGCGATTTTTGACCAACATCAGCACTCTGATGGTATCTGGAATGAGGCTGGCACGTCGTAGAGAGATAGTATCACGCCCCCCGGAAAATATACGTTCAACGGCAACTGCAGAACCTGTGGTACTGGTGAGTGATCGAAAATGAACTTAAAAACATTGATGAACATACCTGGAATCGAGAAAAGGTCGCGCGCGAGGCGATAGAGGTTAGGAAATTGTGACCGTCTCCCAAGCCACCATTCCAGGGGTTTACAGGTATCAAAGTCTTCGCGTGTTAACTTGTAAAACTCATCCAGCTCGTTGACGACTACCCGGTCTTCCTTTTGGTAGCGCGATGTCAAATTTACCTTTTCGGGTGAGTGGGGGGCACTACCACTGGCTGAAGGAATGGATGAACTTGATCGCGATGATTGAACGGGGGTTCGACGAGTCCGATTTGCGTAGTTTTTGTTGAAAAATGTCTTCAATTGATCCCGCGCGTTGTTCAAATCAGCGAGAAGTGTGGGGTCCGAAGCGCAGTCTCTTCTAAGCCCTACATACATGATCCGAGGATCAAGTACTGGAAATAAAGGTCAAATTTCAGAAAGAAAAAACGAAGTAGAGGAAGGAAAAAGCATACAAGAAGCCCAAGTATAATATGGGGACTCATCCGAACGATAATAGTAGTCACTGAGTTTTTTGTGAGCCTCAATCAAGCCGTTTCTCAATTGATGTGGTGCAGAGTCAGGAAGATCTGCCAACGCTTGGTGAACATGGTCTTGTAATCCACGGAAAATGGCATGGACAGTGGAGAGCATGGGCTCCTTCGTCTTGGACATGTCAGTAGTAGCCGAACGAAAGACCTTGAGCCAGCCTGCAACAAGACGTATGGCTGACCAGTCAGCGGCATCGAGCTCCAATGCACGGAGATCTCGGTGGCGCCCAACGAACTCATCGATTTCCTTCGCAAAGTCTAAGGCACGTCCTACATGACTACTGAGTAATGACCAACAAAAGAAGAATACAGAAGTTGACGTACGCAGCATTTGATGTGTCGAAGACCAACGAGTTTTAACATCTAAGATAAGCATCAACGCACGTTGTCGCTCAACACCGTTCTTGCCCCGAAATGAGTCTTCAAGTTGCTTGAACCATGCCTGCTTCCGCTGAGGGCTGGAACGAATTGCGCGGATGACTTTACGAAGCTCAAAATATCATCAGCTCAAGACTTAAGCTATGTAAACAATCGACTCACCTTTTCAACGGCAGGCAATATATTGCCCGATGCATCAGGGGATAAACTAACCTCCTCCTCTTGGTCTCCGTCATCTTGCGCAGCAGCGTCGTCATCGTGAGAACGACCGAGAGGTGCTGTTGTGGAATCTTGATAATTGCCACTTCTGGACGTGGCCTTTTGGGCTTCCGTCTTGGAGATGGCCCCGATTGCCTCAAGTAACTGCAAGGTAACATGAGCTTCAGTATCATAAACTACAAATAATTGATGAGATGAACCTTGATGGCGGCAAGATGGATAGTGTGTGGCATGCAACGAAGACGGGCCCAAGCCGCGTTGAGATGGATACCCTCTTTGGCTGCTCGGGACTCAATTCCTTCGACCATAGTATCATTGTTTGAAGCATTGTCAAGCATAAATGCAAAAATCTGTGTGCGAAATTAACGGTTCATTTCTCGTGAACTTTTAATTGAAAAATTACTCACACGGTCTTCAATTCCATATCGTTTTAATGTCTCCCATACGACTTCTGCCATGTTTTCACCTGAGTGTTCACCAACGAGCTCTCGAAAATCAATGAGCAATTCTTCTTTAAGTATGTAAATACTCTGTAAGAATAATGACAGGAATTATTAGTTACCTAGCTTTCCTTCCTTATTTACATAATGGGCGACGATGGCAAGAAAAGCGTAGTTATTACTGGATGTCCAAGCGTCGAGCGAGAGGCTGATCTTTCCGGGGACCTCATCCTGATGACAATATGAGACATATTCCATTCGGAATTGAAACATTGATTCTTACCTTGAACATTTGCTTGGTGGACTCCATACTATCTTCACCCATCTCCATTACTCGACGTTTAATAGCGTCGCGGTGTGGAATTTGGAGGGTGGGAGCGGGATGGTGGGTGTATGTTAAGAGCTCACGAAGCTCGGGCCTATCGACCTCTTCGAATGGCTGGTCACAGACTACGATCCATTCAGCAAGGAGCTGCTCGAATTTTCCTTGATCCCAAGGATCCTATGAATTATAAGCGACTTTTAAACAACAAATAAAAGTATCAAATGACTTACGGCAGCATTGACGGCCTGCTTTTCGAATGCGGCGCGAATGTTTTCAGAAGCCGTCTTGAGGTTCTTGAAGAACTCCTTGGATTTTCCGGGGTCGAGGACCTTTTCGCCGGAAGCGATTCGGATTTCATCCTCAGTAATAAGTTGATCGGAAGGCCTCTCTTTCAACGCAACGAAGAGCTGGAACATGCTTGGCGAGCATGCTTTCAAGTTGTTTACCATGGCTAAAAACAACAGAGTTAGGCTACGGCGATGTGTTGCAATTATGTTACTTACACGTGAGGTTCGATTTTCCGGTTTTCTTGAGAGTGAAAATTTTGCGATTACCGTGGCAGCACTGGAAATGTTTGTCGCCAGGGTTCCCAACCCCCCCATCAGCACCACGGGCGACGCTTTTATAGAAATAGTATATGGGATTCTTTGTTGCAGACTAAATGGGTTGTTTATTAGTCAATCATACAAGAAAATCTAACACGAACATACTTTACTCTTCGTCTTGTTACCGGATGATGGTCCTACTTGATCCAAAGGTCGGATCTCTTCCAAAATAGTGTTTTCATCGTCTGGACTCAGAGAGCGTTCGGAAACTCGACGTGGACTGTCCTCGTCCTCAACCTCGATAATGGTTGGGGCGGTACGCTTTCGTTTTTTTGTTCCAGATCCGCGGCCCGTCGTTGGGAGAGTCTTCGAGAGAAGGACAGAGGCAAGCTGACAATTGTTGATGAGTAAAAAAGCCAGTGGAAACAAAAGCGACGTACCTCTGCATTCGAAACTGCTTCAACTTCAATAGAGCCGTCGCTGGACTCTGAATCCGATGAACCCGTCGTGAAGTCGTCATCCTCGTCATCGCTCTCAACACCAGTATCCGGCTTAAGTTTCTTTGCGCGGGGCTTGCGAGAGCGTTTGGCACGATTTGCCGCTCGAGGTTGCTTTGGCGGGATCGGCTCGCCGTCAGAATCTAAGGCTTCAGCTGCAATATAGTCAGCCATTTTCGCCCCTCGACCACTTCGTCGACCATCTGAAGTGCTGGAATCAGACGTTGTTCAAGAATAAAAAAAGAAATTGACCTGTTATCACAGCAGGCAAAGTGGATGCAGCAAGACGTGGAAGAGAGCGGCTGTCTGATTCAGAGTGGTACCAATCTATGTCGTCGGCATCTTTGAGTTGACCAGATGTGTCCATAGCGCATCCGAGTTCTGTAGGCATTGTGGAAAAGAGTGCGTAGTGTCTCCTCTGAAAACATACCATATAAATATGGAGCTCGCAGGCACATTTCCCCGTGTTTCACGGTGAAATTGCAAGCCGCAATATATCAAGAAATCACTGTTGTCAGCCACAAGGATTGTTAGAATTTGAAATGCGCATAAAAGATTATGAGGGGGCGTAAGTGTACAAACCTTTGAAAGAATCGTCTTGGGCATGCAGAATTCACAAACTTGATTACGACGAAAAGAAGCCTTTTCATTTATGGCATAGTGTATAGAAAGAGTGAAAAAGTAAGAAGTAGTGCTGTGACAGGTTCCTATGGGATGAAAGACAATGATGCGACAGGTATCTGTAGGCACGTCGCGTTGAGAACAAGGAACGAATGATGATTTGTCGACCGCAGGAGACTGTTGATAACGTTTGAAATTAAAACACCGACAACGGCCGTTTCCGACCGTCAACTATTATTCTTGTCGGTTATCTACCGTACCGTCGCCGTACCGATAGATGACTTTCACTGAGGCACACGATACGGTGCGGGGGCCGTATATTCACGGCCGTACATCGTAAGTTCGGCAGCGGTGCGCAGCCCTAGACGAGTAAGATGGATGACCAATGGGGTCCGTTCTGTCGGGAAACTCGAAGGGAATGTGATGGTAGTCACCTGCAACGTCGTTCATCGCCCCTCAAAGGACGTGTTGTGATTGTGCAAGGCTTTGCGGAAAGTGGGGTCAGATCCATCGCTTGGATAGCGGATGAAACAGAGCATATCCCGGAGAAACATCCCCACCCGAGGAAAAATGTGGAATGGGTACAGGATAGAGGTCACCTATGTGTTGCAAAGGATATCCAATAGCTGCTGTGTTGTATTCGCGCGTTGAACGTTGAAGGTCTGAGCACCGAGTGTTAGTTGACGTTGTGAGAGACGCGACGGCGATACACACCTCGAAAAGGTTGCTGTGCCACTTCTCTCAATTCTTAACGTCTTGAACGTATTGAACGTACCTCTACAAAGCAGGGTGCCGCCAATCTTCGAGGCCTGTTGCAGTCATCGACTCCGAATCTGCAGTGCTAAGATGGTGATCACCGTAAGTTCGACGTGATTATTGAATCAAAAGAACAAGATACTTACTTCATGACCTTGCTCGCTTGACGGGCTGATGCGACGCGTCGATAGTGCAGGTCCTTGAGTACGTCGTTGACGAAAGAGACGCGAGAAAAACAAACGTTGGTCAACACGAATTTGATCAACGTGAACGTATTTGTCCTCGACCACCATCATCATCTCCAGCTCGCATATTATCTACCGTTCGCTCGCCTCAGATTTACACTCAAATTTTTCTTGACATGTGAGACTCAAGCTGTGGTCGACACTCGCTGAGGTGAGCTCAATCTGTCATTGGCAACTGCTCCTTGATTGTCAACCTGACAGAGGAATTGAGAGATCACGCTCCCGCACAAGCTACTAAGCTGGTAAAGGCTTTGGAAAGTCCACCGCACGAGGTATATTCGATACGGGATGGCTTTGAGGCAGCAGTACGTACTCGTATAAGGTACGTGTCTATCTCTATTCATCCAGCTACTTCGCTTATAACCCTCGTATCTCTCCATCAGTGAGGCTATGTCGGTTTCTTCGCGTTTCGCAAACGCTTCACCGCCGTAATCCTCTTCTGCGGTTGAAAACCCTGTCACTGCGGACCACCCCAAGTGGGATGAGAGATCGACGACAAACGGAGAGCCTGCTTGTAAGTATTGTGGCCACGGATGCGAAGGTACGCGCTCTATTTCATCAACTTTCTACAAAATACCCATTACGTGTTCAGGACGACGAACGATAGAGCGTTATGAGAGGCTAGTCGTGCAAAGATAAACGTGTTGTGCTGTTCAACAAGTGAGCATCCATGCTTCGGGCGGCACTTCCCATTTCTAAAGCACTATTACCAGAGGGTGGCTCACTCACCCGTACCAACTCATTTTGCGGCGATCGGCTACTCTGTGTTCCGTGGCGACGCTATCCTTTCAGCCCACTTATATCTCAGCACTCCGCAGCTCCACCAACGGATCACCTTAACGACAACGATGCTGTGGTAATATGATTCTCCATGTGCTGTCAAGCCCATGCCCAACCTTGGACCAACCCAAAAACGGCACAACTTACGATCAACGGTGGAATGAACAGGATCGGAGCTCTACCCCGGGTCGTGGAAGTATTGAACTTGCCACAAGAGTGTTTCTTGCTCTTGGTATGACATGATTGCTCCCTCTTGACGATGACCTAATGGATTGGTCTTTTGTAGGATCCGGGACGTGGCGAGGCCCTTGCGGCCCCATCGTTCGTCGGATGCCGGATGGCTATTCAGCTGAAACACTCATCGATGTCATCAGTGTTGTCCTACAGCGCGTGAAGTACAACCGGCGGTCGTGCAATTTAGCGACGACGATACTTTGGCATGGAGAGCCGGAGTGAGGTAATTTGAGGATGAGTGATGGAATAAACACCTGATTTAGGATGCTGGGTTAGGTACGTGTGCTCGTCTTTTGACTTTGTGCGTACTCAACATCTAACATTTGTTTTAGGTTCTAGTATCATTTCCATTGTGGATTTTATTTCATTTTAAAATCTATGAATTAAGATACAGCCCTTTCTTCTGTTCGTCACCTTGAAGGGTGCCGTTTGGCTTCCATTTCTCGCCGCTCTCTGTTGACGCTATTTGTTCTGGCGCTTCCTCGCTGACTTAATGCCGGGTGGGCGTTAACCTCTTTGAACGCTGTGCTTCATCGGCCCTACAAGCGGATGTCAATCAGCAACGTCAGCTGACTGTGTGACCCACTTGGAAAATTGACGCCGCACAGCATCGACACTCTCTTCCGAACCACCATGTCTGATCCTAGTGGCTCCCGCAAAAATCCTTTGAAACGCAACTTGGAGGAATTGCCTGATCACCTCACGATCACTGAGGGCCCACGTAATAAACGCCGTAGCGATTCGAGGTTAGAGTTCATAATCCCACGCTGCTTGATAGCGTCCTGACAAGCTCTAGGTCGACTTCTACAACGGTGCCTGATGTTGCGAGGGAGGGGACGTCTCTGGTGTGTGTTTACAATACATGCTTACATTCTTTGGCTCACATTATTTGCCTCTGGGGCCGAAGCATGTAATGCAGGGAGCACACAATGTCATTATGAGGGATTCCACGCTCTACGTGGCACAAAATGTGTGTCTTTTGATCACTGCACTAATGGTTTGAGAGACAGATCTGATGTTTTGTCAAGATTGAAGTTCAAAAACATGCTGGCAGGGGTCAAGAGGATACACTCCTTGTTCCCCAAAGACCCAATTCAAGTGCCTTATTTACAGGTTGTGAGGATGTTCTCAAGAGGCTAATGGATCACTTTGCACCTCAAGGTGTAGTAGATGGATGCAGAAAGTCATTTTTGTTGTATGGTATGGGGGGGATTGGAAAGACACAGATCTGTTTGAAGTTTGTTGAGGAGATGGCTGGAAGGTAAGTTTTTTCACACATAATATTTCTGATTTTATGACAAGTACACATAGATTCTCCCATGTTTTCTGGATTGATGCATCTTCTGAAGATACTATTGATCTTGGTTTAAAGGGTCTTTGTGCTCATCCTGAGGCTAAAGCTGCTGGTATCTCTGTGTCCTCCAGGTCTGCTCTTATCTGGATTGCATCTTTGCAGGGTAAATGGCTGCTGGTGTTTGACAATGCTGATGGTGCACCTGAAGTTGTAGAGAAAGTTATTCCATCTGGTTCTCAGGGAAATATTCTGGTTTCTAGCAGAAATCGATCTCTTGGGCGTGTCACATCTCATGTAAACTCTCTGGAAATTGAGCAAATGGCTGAAAAGGAAGCCATATCACTCCTGATGAAAGCCAGCCATCTAGCTGAGCTGCCAGAAAATGTTTACAGTATAGCTCAACAGATTGTAAATAAGCTCTGCTGCTTGCCTCTGGCTGTTGATCAAGCAGGAGCTTCCATTGAAGCTGGTCTCTGTAGCATTGAAAATTATCTTGAGCATCTCTCTCAACATAGGAACAAGCTTATGAACCACCCTTCATTTAGGGGGGCATCTCAGTACAATCATACAGTCTATGAAACATGGGATTTGTCTTTTAATGAAATTGAGTCAAGGGCAAACAATAAATCCAATGAGCATGGTAGAGCAGCTGCTCAGGTTGCTATTCTTATTCTGGAAACGGCTGCATTTCTACATCATGAGAGTATCATTGAGGCTGCCTTTAGAAAGGCTGCTATGGTGTTCTCTAAGGGACATCACAGTAGACTGGAACAAAAAGCCAAAACCTGTCTCACCCAACTGCTTCAGCTGGGAGAAGATCAGTGTTGGAATCAATTCCCCTTTCATGAAGGAATTAGAGTTCTTATGTCATTTTCTTTGATCAAACAGTTGTCAGCCTTGTTAGGAATTTATGCCATTCATCCAATGATGCATCAATGGAGTAGAGATAGGATGTCAATGGCTCAAAAAAGGTGCATGATGCAGGTGTCAAGATTTATTCTTGTCAACTGCATTACAGAGGAGATGACAGCTGAGAACATTGCATTCAACAGAGTTCTTGTACCACACATCAAAGCCAATTACCAGTCAGAGAAGGAAAATGGCTTCAAAAGAGTGTTTGATGATAATGAATATTCCCAATTCAGTTATGTATTCTCTGAAAATGGAATGTGGAAAGATGCAGAGTATCTTGAATATCAGATAGTAGAAATGAGGATGGAGGAGCAGGGGATGAACCATCCATCAACACTGACCAGCATGTCAAATCTTGCAAGTACCTATTCAGGCCAAGGAAAATATGAGGAGGCTGGGGAGCTGAAGCTGAAAGTCCTGGATCTGTGTACAAGGGTGTTGGGACCAGATCATCTAGATACCTTGACCAGCATGAATAATCTTGCAGTCACATATTCAGACCAAGGAAAATATGAGGAGGCTAGGAAGCTGCAGCTGAAAGTCTTGGATCTGCGTACAAGGGTGTTGGGGCCAGAACATCCAGGTACCTTGACCAGCATGGCAAATCTTGCAGTCACATATTCATATCAAGGAAAACATATGGAGGCTGAGGAGCTGGAGCTGAAGGTCCTGGATCTGCATACAAGAGTGTTGGGGCCAGAACATCCAGCTACATTGACCAGCATGGCAAATCTTGCAAGAGCATATTGCAAACAAGGAAAATATGAGGAGGCTGGGAAGCTGCAGCTGAATGTCTTCGATCTGCGTACAAGGCTGTTGGGGCCAGAACATCCAGATACATTGACTAGCATGGCAGATCTTGCAAGTACCTATTCAGACCAAGGAAAACATGAGGAGGCTGGGAAGCTGCAGCTGAAGGTCTTGGATCTGTGTACAAGGCTGTTGGGGCCAGAACATCCAGATACATTGACTAGCATGAATAATCTTGCAGTCACATATTCAGACCAAGGAAAATATGAGGAGGCTGGGGAAGCTGCAGCTGAAAGTCTTGGATCTGCGTACAAGGGTGTTGGGGCCAGAACATCCAGATACATTGACCAGCATGGCAAATCTTGCAGTCACATATTCATATCAAGGAAAATATGAGGAGGCTGGGGAGCTGCAGCTGAAAGTCTTGGATCTGCATACAAGAGGTGTTGGGGCCAGAACATCCAGATACATTGACTAGCATGAATAATCTTGCAGTCACATATTCAGACCAAGGAAAATATGAGGAGGCTGGGGAGCTGAAGCTGAAAGTCTTGGATCTGCGTACAAAGGTGTTGGGGCCAGAACATCCAAATACATTGACAGCATAAATAATCTTGCAGTCACATATTCAGACCAAGGAAAATATGAGGAGGCTGGGGAGCTACAGCTGAAAGTCTTGGATCTCCATACAAGGGTGTTGGGGCCAGAACATCCATCAACATTGACCAGCATAAATAATCTTGCAGTCACATATTCAGACCAAGGAAAATATGAGGAGGCTTGGAAGCTGCAGCTGAAAGTCTTGGATCTGCATACAAAGGTGTTGGGGCCAGAACATCCAGGTACCTTGACCAGCATGGCAAATCTTGCAGTCACATATTCACATCAAGGAAAACATATGGAGGCTGAGGAGCTGGAGCTGAAGGTCCTGGATCTGCATACAAGAGTGTTGGGGCCAGAACATCCAGATACATTGACCAGCATGGCAAATCTTGCAAGAGCATATTGCAAACAAGGAAAATATGAGGAGGCTGGGAAGCTGCAGCTGAATGTCTTCGATCTGCGTACAAGGCTGTTGGGGCCAGAACATCCAG